TTTCAGGAAATCAGAAAGTACAGGATTACTATTCTTTTACAATCAAAACTTATTGTTTTTATTACTAAATTTGTATTATCAAGTAGGTGGTTTCAACTTATATAAATGCCATCTTTGAAAATGAAATATAACATTTTTATATAAACTCTTTTAATATGATTATAAACATGATACATATTGATAAAAGAACCAATAAAGATAAATTGCAAATGTTTTATGTTTCATCTTTTATAAAAACTATTCATTATATTTACAGATTAATGATATAGAAGAAAAAGTAAAATTGCCAGATAAAGGTTCCCCTCAGATTTACAACAACAGATTTACAACAGATTTTCTTCAGTGTTGAAGAAATATCAATTTAATTTTTCTCAGTTTGTTTAATGTCCAATATACCTTTGGTAATAGGTCTATGTGGGAAGAGAAATGTGGGTATAAAATGAAGTTTACCTTTTACAATATGGGATAAATGATGCCAATAACATCCTCTGTTTAACATAAACACTTACTTCCTAAATACATATTTCAAGAGCATGATCACAGTGTTGCAATTATGAGTTTTAAGAGATCTTTTTTCCAGGTTCATCCACAAAAATTATCATTCTACACAATATTCACCATTCATTTTATAAATATTGCATCTGTAAGAATCAATATGAAGGAGAGAGGACGACTGTTTTCTTATACCTTTGAGTTACTATTTTAGATGAGTTTAAATTCCATTAAGCTGCACTAATTTCTTTTGAACCCTCAGCTAAGTCTAGAAAATTGTGCTAATTTATACAACCAAGAATATACAAAATAAAACTAGAGAAGCTTTCTATAATCAGAAATGTCAAACAGTGATCATTTAAAAAAATTCTACAAAGTCCTCCTATAAGTAGTTATCTAACCCCAAAACCAGCCAAGACATTTATCTAGATGCTACTACAAAAGTCTTGAGGGGCCGGCAATAATACAACAAATATTCACAAAATTACAGTTCTATCACAGCATCTCATCCCTGGGTGCACATTAGAATCACTTTGATAATAAAAAAAAAATTATAGAAACAGGGCCCAGCCCCTGAGGTTCTAATTTAATTCATACCATAGTGAAGCATGGGCATTAGCATTTTTAAAGCTCCCAAGTCATTTTAATGTGCAGACAGAGCTGAGAACCACTGATTTACACTTTATATAATTAATCCTAATCAACTTGTAAGAGCAATCAACTGCCACTCAAAATATTCAACATTCAGAACATCTTGCTTGAAATGCAGAATACTGCTGCATATTAGAAAACATTTGGACCTGGTACTCTATGTTAGATGTGGTTTGTAGTATTTAAACTATCTTCACTTGGTTTTTTTGGTTACAATGAAAAAAGGTTTCATCTACAGTACTTTCTTAAGTAGACAAGGTGGGAGAAAGGGTACAGCAAGGAAAAAGTCTTAATAAGATACTAGCTCAAGCAAGATAACAGTGCAGACTTGGTGTGAAACAATGCTATGGAAATGTGTATCTAACACACAGCCTCAGTTACTTATGGATCTTTTGAAGAAAGTTTAGGAAATAGCTAATTTGATAAATGAGTTTACTTAACACTCAAAAAAAGGTATATCCCCAACCTCTGGTCAGTCCCTAAAATGAAGTCTCAAGCTTCTCTAATAAAAGAGCACATTCCCTAAAGTTCTATGGGGGGGTAGTGTTGGTGGTGGGAAGATTTCTGGCGGCATTTTAAGCATCTTAAACTTTGGAGTCCTAGGGTCAGACAGTCTCCAGATACCGGGCCTGCTATCTAGCCTCACATCACCACCAAATACGGATTACAAGATTAATTAATAAACAAGATCCCCAAGATGTGATAGGTCTTTAAGCCGTGCGTGAGATTTCACTTGAAACTATTTTGTCCTAACTAAAATCACAAAATGGGTGGCTTTAAAATTGAGCAATCTATCTGTATCACTATAGCTCTTCTCCAACAGAAACAGGATCATATTACTGAGCTTAACAAATGTTGTTGAACAGATCACAAGCATGTCTAAAGACACCATGAATGTTGAATACTTCACACATCTCAAAACCTCAAAACTTGGCAACTCAAAGGAAAAAACATCACTAAGGTAAATCAAACTAAGAAAATTCTACTCCCACATATTGTGAAGCAAAAGACATGAGAGAATTTTAAAAATGTCTTCAATAAAGCCAAAAATGGAGATCAATCACCATAAAGCACTTAAAAGTTGTTTGATTTAGATAGTGGTATGTTGTTTTTTAATACTACACTTAGAGTTATCTAAACTTTTCCCACAAATGTTAAGTATCTGACACCAGGCCCACCCCCTGCTGTTTTGTGAAGTTTGAGAAGTAGCAAATCAAATTTCCTAGAGCAGCTTCCCAAATGTGTTCTTCCCTACAGAGCCCAGCAAATAATATCTCAAGGGTATCCTTTAGTTTACTGAACAACTTGGGAAACATCACTCAAGATATGTGTACAAAACACAATTAAAGATATCGTTTTATTTAAAGAATTCTGAGATTTGCTTTAAGCTTGGAAAAACATCAAATTTATAAAGACTTTTTATATTACTTGAATTGGATCAGTGAACTAACTCTTAGTAAGAGTCTGGGTACAAATTCCATAAATCTTTTTCTACTCCTCACTTGAATTACCACTATAAATGCTTGTGAATTCTGCTATTTGCTTTCTTGTATACATTAGATGAACTGACATTTTACATTTACTATTGATATGGGATTCTTGTTTTCTCACAAAGGTAATTAAATCATATTCTTCAATTAAATAGGTAAATGTACCTATTTAGCAATCATATAATAAGCACCTTCTGTGTTCCCTGTGAATAGTTTTCTTGGAATCTAAATAAATGAGCCTGTCATACATGAGCCTGTTTAACAGTGCTTAAAATAAGAAAATAGAAATTAAGATGGAGAGAACAAGGAGCTACCCTCTTCCCCAAGTCTAGCTTTTCTAATTTACTTTAATTGCTTTGTTTCATATTTTTTCCAAAAGGCTGATAGGCAAAGCAACTCATTTGTCTTAATCCTAAATAACTCAGTTTTATTTCCTGTGTTAAAATGTGATCTGGAATTGCAATTTTTTAAAAATAGGAAATGTTCCTATAGTCTGTATGTTAAGGCTGTCCATCACCCATGCTGAGTAATAAGAATTATACAGTGAGAATTCTCAGATCCAACCCCAGAACTCAAAGCAGTTAAAACAGAAGGTAAAGAATTGATGTACAGCAAATACTGAAAAGCAGATTTTCCAAGAGTTTCCAAAAAGGGTCAATTGGTCCAATATAAACTACAAAGACACGTGGGATTAGATTTAATTATTGGATGAATCAATTTTATAATACATATAATTTTCCAGACTGAGGCAAGGTTAATAATGTAGTTTCTAAACTGCTTTGTAGGTCAATCATTTCAGACACTTTAACATTATACATTTTTTCATAATCAATGCAATTAGTTCATGCTCACACTTGTAAAATTCAGGTCTAAGATGTAAGCTATTATTTTTGTATACTAAAACAAAAAGTTTCAAATAAAGTATAATCCAATAAAATATTCCAATATTCAATATTTTCGCAATGAAAGCATTCTAAGATAATCTATTGGATTTGCAAAACTAAAAAATAATAAAACAACGCAAAAAGACTATTTTAACATTTTAAAAAGCAGAAATGTGTTACCAGACATTAAAATCATGGGAAGTAGGAAAACTGCTGCATACAATTGAAATACTCATTAGCTTAGAGATTATTTACATAGTTCAGTGATTTCCCAGCCATCAAAAGGAACTGGAATTTTCTTAATTATAAATATTATGACCTAAAATAACCCTCTTGTGGATAAAAAGGACATATTTCATTCTTTTCCTTTCAACAGGAATATCTGTTTGTTTAACAAATTGTAAAGTGTGTTCTCTACTTCTTGCATTATCACTGAAGAAAGACATTCATGGTCAATGATGTGCATGAAATACCTCAGTTTTCATTAAATTTTTCAAATTTACGTTTTACTACCAGACATAAAAATTTTTCACAAGTAGTTTGAATTTTTCTACCAGTTGCACATAAATTAACTATACACATCTTAAGCAATATAGTAAATATATTCTGACTTGTACTTTAAGTAGTAAATCCAATCATAATATAGTTTACCATTGTTACAATTAAAATGTACACAATGTATGAAACATTTAATCAACTCAAATACAACTTCAGGGTGTGTATCAAGCTGTGTATCTGAAATGAATTTCGATAAGAATTAAGCTTGCTTAGTTCCCAAGTGGCTATCTTTACTAAACTTCTCTACAGAATGAAAGATGTTAACAGTTTCTATTTTCTTACAATATTTAATTCACAAAGTGATTAAAATGATTCCTATGATTCTATATCTATTTTTCTATCAAATGGTAATGACAAGCACATCTTTTCAAGATTTTCTGATTTAGAATCTCAAAGCATGAAACAATAAACTATTTTAAATCTCAGCTTTCCTTCCAATTATATAAAGAAAGCACATTTTCATAAACTTAACCCTTTGCACTCGGATGTCGGGTGTGACTTGACATGGTCAGCAAAAATTATAGAGATTACAATTACTCTTTGAATGTATCAATAATTTGAAATATAAAAAAATCCAAATAAATAAGTTTGTATGAAAAGAAACTCCAGTTTTTTATTCTACTGCCACGCTTTGTAAAATCTGGGGTATTAAAAAAATTAAATCCCGAGTAGAATAAAGTCATCGAGAAAAGAGCAAGCGAGTGCAAAGGGTTAAGAAATGTCTGACCTTACTTTACTGTGCTAGACTATAATTCAAATAAACTTCACATGATTTAAATGTATTAAGATGCCGTTCAAAGTTTACAGAGAAAAAAACCAGTGAGTTGGAATTTTAAATACAATCCTAGAAACAAAAGTCAGTTTTTAAATAAATTATCCCCAAATAATACATTCACACATATTGAGGCAACAGTAAATGTATTACCTTTATGTTAAAACAGGAAACTTTTCTGGCTAAGTTTGGGCTGCAAATGATTGCAGCAGCAACAGCGGTAACCGCCCGCAGAACACAGCACAACAGAAAGCAATGAGTTGGCAGGAGCAGCTCCACAGAGCGGCAGGACAGACTAAATGACAAGCAAACGCAGACTGCTTTGAATTAGGTGTGTTAGGGGCTGGAACTTTCAGTGTTTGGTCTCCAATAGGACAGAAGAGTTTTTCTCCTACTTAACCCCTCAGGGCAAGGTCTTAATAATGGTAACAGCTGGCATACAGAGGAGCTTGATCTGAGCACAAGGTCAGCAAACCAGGATATGAAGGTGACATGTAATTTCTAGCCTTTTCCTGCTTCTACAGGGAAATTGCATGAAGGACTGTTTTTAGTTATAACTTCCTTTGATCTTTTGGATTTTAAGTTACTTAGTAGATTAAAGCCATGTTAGTTGATATTTGCTTGCTTACCCTAACTTAAGTGTTACAGATTCAGTTTTCTGACACATAGTGCTACTACATTTAAACTAACACAAATAAACACCAATCTGTGTTTATTTCCAAGTTCTGGGGATTCTTATGTTCTTTCACAAATGACTCTTGAGACTCTACTTTTAGAGCAGAAAGTTCATAGTTTTTAAAGGAGACAGTCTTCTTTTTTAAAGAAGAAAGTATTAGTAAAAGCAATTTTAAGTGTTTTTTTTTTTCAATTTGCCTAAACAAAAACAGCAGTTTGTTAAATAAATTTCACACTGCTTTTTATTTTATTTATTTATTTTTTGAGACAGAGTTTTGCTTTGTTGCCCAGGCTAGAGTGAGTGCTGTGGCATCAGCCTAGCTCACAGCAACCTCAAACTCCTGGGCTCAAGCAATCCTGCTGCCTCAGCCTCCCGAGTAGCTGGGACTACAGGCATGCGCCACCATGCCCGGCTATTTTTTCTGTATATATTAGTTGGCCGATTAATTTCTTTCTATCTATAATAGAGACAGGGTCTCACTCTTGCTCAGGCTGGTTTCGAACTCCTGACCTCAAGCAATCCACCCGCCTCGGCCTCCCAGAGTGCTAGGATTACAGGCGTGAGACACTGCCCCTGGCCCACACTGCTTTTTATAAATGCATGGCCCTCCTGATGCCAGTATTTAAAATTCCACAACCACAGCATCAAAACCTGCAAACAAATGCTTTAAATTTACAAATGACATCCCTTGCAAATAAGTGATAATTTATTGAAACCATGAAATCTAACTCTTCATGACTTTGCTAATAAAAATGTATAAACAATTCTTTTAGCAGGATGTACTGATTAACTGTACAAAGATAGCACTTTCAAATTTTTCAAAAGCACAAGCAATAAAAGAATAAAATAGATAAAATTGGACTTCATCAAAATAAAAAACTTTTGTAGAAAAAAGAACATTATCAAGAAAGTAAAAAAACTCACAGAATGAGAGAAAGTATTTGCAAATCACATTTCTAAGGGTCTAGTATTCAGAACATATATTTAAAAACTCTTACAACTCAATAATATAAAGACATATAATCTGATTTAAAAGAGGCAAAGTTTTTGAATAGACATTTCTCCAAAGAAGATATATGCACATGAAAAGATATTCAACATCTTTATTGATTCAGGGAAATACAAATCAAAACCACAATAAGATACCACTTCACATCCAACAGGATGGCTATACTCCAAAAATCAGAAAATAACAAGTGTTGTCAAGGATATGGAGAAATCAGAACCCTTATCCACTGCTGGTGGAAATGTAAAATACTGTAGCCTCTGTGAAAAACAGCTTGGTAGTTCCTTAAAAAATTAAACACATAATTACCATATGATTCAGCAGTTCTGCTCCTAATACACTGATCCTTGTTATTTGTGGATTCAGTATTTACGAATTCACCTACTCACTATAATTTATTTGTAATCCTCAAATAATCCTTGTGGTGCTTTCACAGTCATTCAGACATGCGAATTTGCAGAGTGGTGAAAAAGTTGAGTCACCTGAACAAGATGACAATCTAGTGTTTGACTCTCATACTGAAAACAAGTGTCCCTTTTGAGGCCTATCTAGTGCCGTGTTTTTCACAATCTGTGGTTTTTCTTGGTGACTTCACTGTTTAAAATGGCCCCCAAGTGCTGCCTAGTGTTTCTAAGTACAAGAAGGCTGCGATGTGCTTCACAAGGAAAATGCATCTGTTAGGGAAGCTTCACTCAGGCAGGAGTTACAGTGCTGTTAGACATGGGTTCAACATTAATGAATCAGCAATATATACAAGATAAGGTGTTTTTAAATGGAAGCACACATAAAACAAGGTTATGTATTGATCAATTAATGAAAATGTTCTGGCCAGAGGTTCACAGGAACCTAATCCTGTATTTCTCCTAGGAGCAATGATTCAGTATTCCCTAATTCAGTGTTTGCAGCGACTTTATGAACATAACTACCGCAAATAATGAGAATTGGCTATATATACCTAAGAGGTTTGAAAATATATGTTCATAGAAAAACTTGTACATGAATGCCCATAGCAGCATTACTCATAACAGCCAAAAAGTAAAACAACCTAAATGACCATTAACTGATGAATGAACAAAATGTGTATATCTATACAATGGGATATTATTCTGCCATAAAAATAATGATGCACTGATAACATGGTACAGCATGGATGAACTTTGAAACATTATGCTAAGTGAAAACCAGAAATGAAGGGCCATATATTTTATGATTCCGTTTATATAAATTATCCAGAATACACAAATCCATAGAGACAAAAAGTAGATTAGTAATTGCGAGGGGCTGGGGAGTAAAGACTGGGGATGGGAAGTGACTGCTAATATGTATATAGTTTCTTTACTGATGATGAAAATGTTCTAGAATTAGATACTTGTGAGGTTGCATAACCTTGTAAATACACTAAAACCCACTGAATTGTACCCTTTAAAATGGAGAATATTTTGACATGAGTTATATTTAAATTTTTTTAAAAAAGGAAGGTGCACATCTGGGGGATGGTCATGATGGAGACTCAGACTTGTGGGGGGGGGGAATGGGCATTTATTGAAACCTTAAAATCTGTACCCCCATAATATGCCGAAATTAAAAAAAAAAAAAGAAAAGAAAGAAAAGAAAAAAGAAAAAAAAAGGAAGGTACAAAGTTCTAGCCACTAGACCAGTGGCTCTCAACTTGAGGGTGCATTAGAATTCCCTGGAGGGCTTGTAAAATGCATATTACCAAGTCCCATCCCCAAGAATTCCAATTCTCAAGGTCTAAGGGTAGGGGCTTGAGAATTTGCTTTTCTAATAAATCCTCAGATGATGCTGACAGTGCTGGTCTGAGACTCATATTTTGAGAACCAATGTCCAAGCTTCTAGAGGGTAGGAAAGGTACCTTTCATCTCTGTATCTCTTAAATTTACTTAAAACAGAGTCACTCTTGGGGAGGAAAAAGAGGGGGAAGTGGGAGGGAGTGAAAAGGACAAATATTTATTTAAGTGAATATATTAAAGGAGTCAGTCCCTGAAATCTTAGGCTGTGCTGATTTCCTGTCATATTTCTGCCAAGTGCTATAATACCTAAACATCCCCATGACAAAAAGGAATTAAAGAATGAAAATGAAATTGAAGGTATTTTACATTCTTTGATCATTTGAACAGTACTTTGGTTCAGTTTTTAAAACAGCTAATCCCATTTCACTGTGCTTGTCCTTGCAAACAAGTTGTAGAATTGTTGATCCCACAAAGAAACCTCTTAAATTAAATAAGGTGTCATAAAAACCAAAGGCCTGAACACTCCAATTCATAAATATATATATGCTTATTTACATTTTTAAGCAAAGTTACTGATTTGTATGTCTAATCACTTTATTTAAAAATTTAGGGCTGAGTTTGGTGTATAATCCTAGCACTCTGGGAGGCTGAGGCGGGCGGATCATTTGAGCTCAGGAGTTCAAGACCAGCCTGAACAAGAGCAAGACCCCGTTTCTACCAAAAACAGAAAACATTAGCCAGGCATGGTGGCGCATGCCTATAGCCCCAGCTACTTGGGAGGCTGAGGCAGGAGGATTGCTTGAGCCCAGGAGTTGGAGGTTGCTGTGAGCGAGGCTGACACCACGGCACTCTACCCCAAGCAACACAGTGAGACTCTGTCTCAAAAGAAAAAAAAGGGGGGGGATCTACATAAAAATAGACAATTTAAAGTATGCTTCTGATATTCTTACACAGAACGCATTATTTTATAAATAATAATCAGGATTATTTCCAATTGCTTCAGTATGTCTCTCAATATATTATTTTGAGTGAAAAGGGAACTGCTAGTGACCCTACAAAGTTCTGATATTCTTTGAAAACAATGTCCTTTCTTAGATCATATTATTTAGATATCTTTCATTAACAGAAAGGGAGAATGCTATGGGAAAGGCAGGGAAAGACTAGAGCTGGCAGGAGAAGCACAACACTTGGTACTTCTTAAAAAGTGAAAAAACAGCTGCTGATTAACAAACTCTTTCCCAGCTGAACCTAGTCCAAAATATAATTCCAGATTGTTACATTTATTAACATTTAGAAGTCCTATCTATTTATCTTTTTTCTTACAGTTAAATGCCAAAACAGTTATGAATGAGTAAACGCTGGTCTAAGGTAGACAATAGAATATTGCTTCAGCAAGATTTTTCTTTCAGTGTGGTCAGGTCAATAGTCATTTGGAAGTACAAGTTCAGAAAAACTAATTGTAGGAAAGTTCTACAGATAATATTCTATATTGCATTTTAATGTTTCTGGAGTATAAATTGTTAGATAACCACTGAAGATTTCAGACCAAAACATTATGCTGCTCAAGTCCTAGCCCAAGGACAGGAAGAGTGAAGATTTAAAATCAGTCTCAGGTCTACCACTCCTGGCTATGTAACCTTGAACCAGAGATTATAGTCTCCTAGCTACAAGATCCAAACATTATATAACATGATCTCACAGGTCCCTGTTGGCTCTGAACTCAGCTTTTATAAATTTGGAAGTCACTGCAAATAGATAAGATAAATCCCAGTTTTACTATTCAAATTTGGATTATTTAAGAAAAGATTATACACTCAAAGTTGAGCTAGTGAATTTGCAGCAAAGAACATATTGCAAACAAACTGAAACAAAAACAAAATAATTATGGGATGCTGAAATTCCTTTCTATGAATTTAGAAATATTTGCATCAGTCTTGTATATTCCTCTCATAACTGACATTTCTTAATCTTAAAGCTTCTTTCTTATCCTATTTCCTGTTGAAAACTCTACCTCCAAATCTACAATTCTTACAAATGAAAATGTTATGACCTTCTATATCTTCCATAATCTGACATCTAAGGGATCTGCTCTTCACCCTTATCTTGACCTCCAGCTTTAGAGTCTTTATCCATTTCCCTTCTTATTTTCACTTGTTTTGGGCTTACTTCACACAGATCTCATGGTCAGCATTCACTTAGTTCACCAGCATTCTGGCCTTTCAAAGAACTCATTCTCCCTGCCTCCCCCAACCTCTGCCATTTTTCCTCTCTCGGGTTTAGAAATGCTACTGAAAATAGTCACCAGACAAGGAAGAGGAGACCTATTATAAAACAAATGCACATTCTCACTCAGGAGGGCTCTCAGTGCTGCTGAGATTCATCTCATCTATGGTAGATTCTCCACTGGAAATCC